GGGACTGTTAATGAAAACACAACATATGTTTGCAAAGAGAATGGGTAAAGAAACCAAACAAACAGTAGTGACTGTTTCCATGTTCTGATCTCTCCCAAGCTAGCTGGCAAGGAAACAAGTACTGTGGGCAAAAGTCAGAAAATAAAAAGCCCCCTTCACCTCCATGTGTTTTAGGCTCTCTCCTCCAGTGTTTTATGAAATATTGGAATTGACATTCTGTGTGGCTCCGCGGTATCGCGGAGGAGTTGTTTGGCACTCATTGAGGCTTTAATAAAGCAATCATTGGACTTTTGCCTGATGTAGTTATTCATTCTGAAATATTATTCTAGCACTCTCATTGCACTTGTCTATATTTGACTAATGGCAGCAATGCCACACACACTTCTGAGCTCTCTGTGCGTACAGATTAAATCCATTTCTTCCCTCCGTCATTTCCAGAACAATATCTATAATCACACTCTAAGCTTTCTTTTGTGATATATATAGCAACACTTCGGGGCTTTGGGGGCTTCTATTTTAAGTAAATTTTGTATCAGGAGGCCTTCCTTGGATGCTGGAGCTGTGTTTGACGACAGGCTAGGGAATCACTTGAGCGAAAGGACAGCTTTCCTTCAGACATGTCTTGCAGAGGTGATAACCCCAATTCATTCTTCAGTCTTCTCCTGAGCAAGGCAAACATCAGCCTTGGGTGTGAGCGGGCTAGTCAGGGACAAGCACTTGACTAACTTCTATTTCACAGAGCCTGCTGGTGTAGAAGCTGTAACCTGCCCTCCCTGCTAACCTGGGCAGAATTGGAACAGGAAGCCTGAACAGGGAGGTCAGATCCTCCTGCTGTTCCAGGGTTTCTGCTTGTCCTTCTCCAAGCGGTTTGACCACGACACCATGGAGGGAGCGGGGATGTCAGATGCCGGAGCTGCAGGGAGAGCTGCTCACTTGCTCCTGTCGCGCTGAGCTTGGACGCGGCGGCTGTAGCAACAGTCTTTGCTGCCATCTACCGCGTTGAGAGAGACCCGAGCACCACACGAGCCACCAACCTCCGTGACTTCGCTGCAGGGGGATGCTAGGAAGGAAGCAATGCCCACGGAAAAGTGTTGCTTCTGCCCTCTCTCTCTCTGCCTGGGGCAGGTTTCGCTCTGCGGCCCTTGAGCAACTGCCTGCTCCAACGCGGGGCTGCTCCGCCGCGCTGTCCAGCAGGACAAGCCTCTCCACAACCTCCTCTTCATGGTTTGGGCCTGGGCAACTCAGGCGGGGACAGGTGATAAAAGAGCCCTTTATTTTCACTAATTAGAGATTTACCTGTAGCGAGGATGGAAGCCCAAACTAGGTCACTGTTTTGAGTCACGGCGGAAAAACGTCCTACAGTTCTGAAATCATCTGATGGCAGCTCTGAGTACTCTGATCCCAGAGTAACGGAGCAGGAATACCTACAAGCTAATAGCACAAGGGTTGATTTTTAATTAATCAACCATAGCTGCCACGTAGCTTCTATGCAGACATATGGTGGATGACTGCTAGGTAACCAGTGCCCACATGCTATAGAACCTCCAAACCGAATTATACTGATTTAAATCTCTCCAGTGCATCAATGATCAAAGGCCAGAGAAACGTCCTGCCCAAGGACGCAGCTTTCGTCCCTCCTCTGCATGAGGGATCACATCACCCATGGAGCCCCAGCCCGCGTCACGGTGCCAGCCTGGCTTCTGCCTGGGGACAAGGACAAGCCCCTCCGTAAACAGGACAGGTCATGTCGCCACTTGTGTGTCTCCCAAGTGCAATTCAAGTCCTGCTGATGGCTAACAGGATAAGAGTTCTTTTTATATACATACATATATATATATATTGTTAATGTTGGCACATACCTTGGTATTTCTAGCCTGAGAAGACAAGTCAGAAAACTCAGCCTAGTTTTCCATAGTTCCCAGGAAGAAAGGCAGGCTGCTCTGCACTGAACTGAAATCCCACTCAGATCGTATTTTAATGACACCAGCATGAATTCAAGATTAAAAAACACCAACAGCAATTCAACAATATTGTACTAAGACTAGTAAATGAAAACTATCCCTGCTCCCCCAAAGTAGTTAATCAATATGCTAGAGGACCCAGATTCCTGCCCCCGTGTCAGGAAACCTGAATATGCTGCCATGAGCCTGCTGGTTTAAAATAATTCAAATCAAACAGTGGGACATAAACAGAATCATTTCACAGGCAGTGAAGGTGATATAAACACAGCTCACAACATCACCCTGACGCTAAATGAACATAAATAACAGGTTTAAACTCGGAGTTAGAAAGCAGCTTCTTGGGAAAGTTACATTTGCAATGAGCATGTGTCTGTCTTCTTGACACAATCGATAGCCCAGTGATTTCTTCAAGAGGAAGAACCTGCAGCATGAAGCAGGTGCACGAGCTTTAAAGCTCCCAACGATTATAGCTGCTTTTTACCCAGCTTTACCACTGCAAAAGCTGTACCTGCCAGGCCAGGGTCAGATTAAAGACAGTGCTTTGAGCAGAATGGACACTAACAGCATCCACGCTGAGGAGATCTGGACCAGTGCTCTGGAAAAGTAACCAATTTCAGGGAGAAAATATGCTTCCTAAGGGAAGCTGTGCTGTGGCTGTTCTTCTGTTTCTTTTCTTTTTAATAACCAATAGCCACATGTTTTTGGACATATATTTGGGCTCCAGCAATGGAAGGGAATTGGAGGCCCGGTTCTTCCCAGAGGTGCCTCTAGGCTGTAACCTCCCCGGTGCCCTGCTCTTCCCTGCTGGCCTTACCTCTGCCCCGCGCGCGCGGCAGGCAAAGCGCGAGGCTCTTCCTCCAGCCCGGCATCCCAGCCCAAGAGCAGGACACGCAAGTTTGCGGGGTCTCGAGGGGGCCTTGAAGGGAAAATCCAGCTTCTTTGGAGGGCTAAACTTCAGCGCGGAGGCAACTCCGTCCGTGCCTGCAGAGCCAGGAACCCTGCACTTCATGTGAGAGCCTCTCTGTGAACCAGTCGGGCTGCATTTTGCTGCAGGGACAGAGCAAATTCACGTGGCCACAGAAAAAGAAACAGATGGCGAGAGAAGAAGGGTGGACAGATGAATGGGTAGATCTCAAGGAGCTGAGCAGTCCCTTAAAGGGCAGACTTGCCTTTTATGCCAGCTCACAATAGTGAGAGGCAACAAAATATTCCCAACACGGCGCACGGTTCTAATAGCTTGTGGTTCCTGTGCGGGGGATGTAAATATTCCCTCCCCGCACCACTGCCATTTAACTGATAAACCGACGAGTCCTTCACAACTTCCTTGCTTCTTACATCTCCAGTTCAGAAAAGGTGTTTATACCTGCTCTACAGAGAAACATGGACAAAAGTGCTCAATTTTTTCTTATGCCAGTCAGAGTCAGGAAAAAGCACAGTCCTCAAAGAAGGGAGAGTCACTATGCCCATCTTCATCATGGCTTGCTAAAATGCATATAAAATGGCTATCAGTGACAGTTCTCTAAGTTTCTTGTTGCAACCTGCTGGAGAATTTCTACTTTTTGTGCCCCCTCGCACGCTGGCCCACAATAAAAATGGGACTTAATAAGTGAGTGCCAGGCCCAGGTTGGGTTTGGGCTGGTTTCTCTCCTCACTGTTGTGGCCAGGTGAGGTTTGAACAGATGACTTAGCACATGACTTGCTGTAGTGAGATTTAATTAGCGCAGCACAGCTGTCTTCATTCCTTTGTCCTACTTCTAGGCAACGCTATTTCTCTCCTTCCACGCAAATTAACGCAGTAAACCTCATGGCCTGAACATGACCTGCATTTTCTTTTCTGTTGACTCCTGTCATTTTCCTTTCTCCCTTCAATGGACCAGAAGGAACTTGGCTACACTAAGGTTAGACGTGGCTCTTCCTGACCTGCCCCCTTGCACTCCCTGGAACAGCGGCACGGCATATTTAGCTATGGAATATGAATGTCAAAAAAAATTTCAATTCTACTGCCATAAAACAGCTAATTACGGGCCTGACGCAGCTTCGCAAGCACCAAAGCAAAACATCTCAAAAATCAAAAAGTCGATCCGAACCCTTATATCAGCTGTCACATGGCCGAGCAACAGCATCCAAGCGCCTTGTATTTCCCCCCTTTATCAGGGACAAGTGACAGACGCTTCCTGAGGGAGCCTCGGGTAATCGGGATCCCCCGAACGGCGCCGCGTCCAAACCCGTTGTGACCTCCCCAACATGGCGCCACGTTCAAACCCGCTGTGACCTCCCCAACATGGCGCCGCGGGCCGCCA